ATTCTGTCTGTGGTGCCTTTTATGTATGGGAGGCGGGCTTTGCCGTTTTCTTGTTTTTTGTCTTGGATTTTGGTGGGGGTTTCTTTTTGGATTAGGTTTGTAATCTTATTTCTATGGAATCCATTGGATGTTAGTACATTGGTGAGAGTGTGTAATTCGGGTTTTAGGTAAACCCCTCTGCCAACTCAGACTAACCTGAGCACAAAACCAAACAGAACACTCCCCCAGCCAATCAGAGCACAGCCAAGCCCCTTCCAATTCAGAAACACACCTCCACCAATCAGAACAAGCCAAGCTCCCCATCCAATCAGTTCATATACCCTCACTGGCAGGTTAAAAGGACAAGAAACAGCCTAAAACCACACACTGCCTGCTCAAAGCAAGAAGCTAAAAACACCAGCCTGAAGATGACGAATGTGACTTCGTCGAAACGTTGCCAAGACACTTCCAATGTTACGCGGGAGAAAACCCGAACAACCAAAGACCTATATACAAATACCCGCGAAAACCTCAGAAAACAAATATCGAACCTCTACGGGGAGGAAATCCACCATCTGACCAGGACCTATGAAAAACTTGAAGTCCAAAGAGCTGCCATTTTATGTGACCTCGCATTCCTACGTAACTGCCGAGATCAAAATCTAATCCCCACATGTTTCAACTGAAATTCCACTCCAACTCTGCAGCCACCAAACGGATCCGAAAACGAACAGGAAATTGGCCCTAATCAGAAATGAACTTCACACAAAAAGATTCCTCCTAGACCGAATTAACAAAGATATCCTCACACTCCACCTCAAACTCAGCAACAAGATCCACCCCGCACTTTGGGACAAATCCAAACAACTCGCAGTCTGGAGAGCCGAAACACAGACCACCCTCAAGACAGATACACACACCAACAAACTGCGAAGACTACAAGAACGCCAGAAACAAACCCCTCCTCCCTCACAGCCACACATGAAACAAACAGTGCATAACATCTCAGATAGGATCCTCACCAAAGCCGAAACCAATGTCCTTTCCAAAGGATTCAACTTTGCAGTCGCTCCCAAACAAATCCCCACTGAAACCATTATATGTGAAGTTGAAACCAGCCTGACCAAAATCAACCCCGATGACGCTAACAAAATCAGACTCAAAATCACCAACATCCTCTGCACCAGCAAGACACCCAAAAGCAACTTACCCAAAGAGGAACAGACAGCACTACGTAACCTGAAAGAAGACACCAGCATAATAATCATACCAGCAGACAAGGGCAACGCCACGGTGGTTATGAACACATCTGACTACCAAACCAAATTAACCAACCTACTCCAAGACTCCACATACAAACCCCTAAATACAGATCCCACCACCTACCTGGAAAAAACCACCAGACCCAAGATAAAAGCCTCCCCCATTAGCGAAGAGATCCAGCAAAGAATCATTCCCAGAGAGAAATCATCCAGATGCCCAAACTCTATGGTCTCCCCAAGATACACAAAGAAGGAACCCCACTCAGACCTATAGTCAGCTCCATAGGCTCACCTCTACAAAACCTAGCCAAATTTCTCGCCAAACAACTACAGCCCTATGCAGAATCCATTACCTCACACGTAAAAAACTCATTCCAGTTTATAGAGATCATAAAGAAACAAAACTTACAGCCCAGCGACCTACTAGTGAGCTTCGATGTCATATCCCTCTTCACACAAGTGCCTATCAAAGAAGCCTTGACAGCTATCCAAAACAAATATAACCCCCCAAACACATCTTAGATCTGACCAACCACTGCCTATCCAACACATACTTCATCTATAATGGACAAAAATACAAACAAACAGAAGGAGCACCCATGGGATCACCCCTCTCACCTGTCATTGCAAACCTCTACATGGAACACTTTGAAACCCAAGCTCTAGAAAAATCGGATCACAAACCCAAACTCTGGCTCAGATACGTAGACGACACCTTCATAATCTGGCCACATGGGAAAGAAAAACTGGACAACTTCCTCACACACCTCAACAGCCTACACCCCAAAATACAGTTCACCATGGAAACAGAAGCCAACAACCAACTTCCCTTCCTGGATGTCTTAGTCTACAAGAAATCCAATGGCTCCCTAGGACACACCATCTACCAGAAGAAAACACACACAAACCGCTATCTGCACGCTCTCTCACACCACCACCCAGCACAGATCAACTCTGTAGCCAAGACACTCATCTCCAGAACAAAACGCTTAGCTGACGAACAACACCTAAAACCCGAACTACACACTCTCACCAATGTACTAACATCCAATGGATTCCATAGAAATAAGATTACAAACCTAATCCAAAAAGAAACCCCCACTAAAATCCAAGACAAAGAACAAGAAAACGGCAAAGCCCTCCTCCCATACATAAAAGGCACCACAGACAGAATCAGTAAGATCCTCCATAAACACAACATCAAAACAGCGTTCTGCACAAACAGAAAAATATCCACCATCCTTAGAAACCCCAAAGATAAAATTTAGAAAATCAAGGAGTATATGAAATCCCATGCACTGCTTGTCCCAACACATACATCGGACAAACCAACAGAAGAATAAGTGCACGCATTGAAGAGCATAAGAACTCAGTCAAAAAAGAGGAACCAACATCTTCCCTGGTCCAACACCTTAAAGCCACAGGACATGAAATTGACTTTAAAAATACCAGAACCATTGCCAAAAGTGAACATTTTAATAACAGAATAATCAGAGAAGCCATCGAGATAGAAAACGCCCACACAGCATGAACAAGCGAGATGATACCTCCCGCCTACCAGCCATTTGGAAACCCGCCCTTATTGACAAACGACTCCCTAACACAAAAAATGATACCAGACCCACACTCACAAAAACCACACAGGATGTCACCACCACACATCCACGCAAAAAGCAAACCCAAAGCCACACCGATGATGAGGCACGACCACAAACCAGAAGCCAGACCACAGCTGCATCATTAGCCACTTTAAACCCCTCCAATCCATACATGAAGCAGACTGACACCTCCATGAAGTTGAGGCACGACCACGAACGCGAAGCCAAAAAATAGCAAGGCAGCCCAAAATCTTAAACCCCCCTGAAACTCAGACTAACCTGAGCACAACCAAACAGAACACTCCCCCAGCCAATCAGAGCACACCAACCCTCCAGCCAATCAGAGCACAGCCACCCCCCAGCCAATCAGAGCACAGCCAAGCCCCTAACCAATCAGAACACACCTCCACCCAATCAGAACACAGCCAAGCTCCCACCCAATCAGTTCATACCCCCACTGGCAGTTAAAAGGAAGAAACAGCTAAGACCACACATTGCTGCTCGAAGCACGAAGCTGAAAACACCAGCCTGAAGATGACGAATGGGACTTCGTCGAAACGTCGCCAAGACACTTCCAATTTTACGCGGGAGAAAACCCGAACAACCAAAGACCTACACACACACACACACACACACACACACACACACACACACACACATATATATGATTATATATTTTTTATCCTTAATACAATCCATAAAGCCAAGGTTCTTTTTTTTCAAACAAATTTCCATACAAGAAAAAAAAATCTAAGTAATTTAAACACATATGTATATAATTGTAACTCAATTAAGAGAGAGAAAAAATAATGTTGAATCTTAATTCCTTTCAATTCATTACACAAACTTCAAATTCCATCCAATTATCATACCTTATCAGATCATATTATTATACACAAAAATCACCTAATCAATTTAAGCATTTCAAAATTCCATTTCCATAACCGAACATTTTTTCAATTCCAGAACATATATATCTGTATGCATATGATTATATATTTTTATCCTTAATAGAATTTCAAAAAAACCCCTTCTAATTTAAACACACATGTATATAATTGCATTTTTCTTACTTCTAACTTTAAATCATTATCCTTAAAACAATCCATAAAATCAGCATTGCCTTTTACTCCTTTAAACATTTTTGAATTTCTTTTTAAGTCTAATTCTAGGTTTCTTTCTATGCCACACAGGCTTCCATAAAAGCGCTTCCCTTTCAACCAATAAATCCATTCTTATTGCTTGTAATAATCTTTGAAAAAATATGAGTCCCTTCCTCTGGAGTAAACATCTTTTTTCCCTTTCAATCAATAAATCCATTCTTGTTGCTTGTAGTAGTCTTTGAGAAAATGTAAATCCCTTCCTCTGCAGTAAACGTCTTTTTCTGTTCTTGCAACATAATTGCTTTGTAGTTAGAAATCTTGGTCTCTGCTTCTTCTGGTTCTCTAAGTTGCTGAAGAAAGGGTTGTCAGATGAAATAGATTCCTCTTCTATTTCCATATAATCCCCTTCTGGTACATTTTGATTTATGCCATAGTCAGTTGTAACCTGAACATCAGTTTGAACAAATGTAGAATCTCTGGATCTTAATTCTAAGGCAGGGTTTTTAATTGTAGCACATATTTCTGCAATAGCCTCATAAATTTTTTCCAATATAAGTGCACAGTTCAATTGTAACTGAGGTTTCTCCATTTTAATACTAATGCTTAAAAGAAGATCTTTTTTTCTTTTTTGTGAAGGCTATATTTAATGCAAAAAAACCCATCCACCACCACAGCTTCACAGGTGCACAGCTTATCTTTAGTGTTGTAAAATTCAGTAGAAGAATAAGCAAAGTTGCAGTATTAAACTTTCGCCACTAGATGCCCGCAGTGAGTTGAGAAAGTCTTTTCTAAAAGTCAATTGCTTTTTTCTGTCTAAAAGTATAATTAATATATATATACATATACATATATACATATATACATATATACATATGGTACAAATAAAATACGAACACCAGGAGAATATAAATATAAAAATATACTTTACTAAAAGCTGCCAAGCTTTCGTTTGGAAACTCCAAACATCATCAGGGCTAAGGAGCCAGTAAACAATGATGACTTAAATGGGTTTTGCCGGCATCTGCACAGTAGACATGCCCAGGAGTCGTATTTTTATGCAAATTTTCCAATATATACATATATACATATATATAGAAATAAAACAGTTCTTAAAAAGAGAGGAGAGAGAAAACCTTTTCCATCCTTTTTCCTTTTTAGTATCCAAATAGAAGTAAATAGTCTTTCAGTATTTATAGAATGCCTTTCTTCCCCAAAAAAAGCAGAAGTCGTCTTTCCAAGCCAGGGAAATAATTCCAAAGGCTCTTACAGATACCCAAACAAAAAAGGTAAAAAAAGAGAGAAAAAGAAGAAAAAAATTCTCACCCGGATTCACCACGGGGGCACTCAACGCTTAGATGTTGTCTGACTTATGGTCTGAAGTGGCAGGGCGATCGGCCATTTTACTGGCCGATCTTCTTCTCCGTCGGCCCTCGGAGATTCGTCTAGACAGCTGGAGGAGCTGCCACTCCTCCGCAGCTGGACAGCAACCTCCTTGATGGAAGTCACATCCTCCAGGGTGACTTTGGACCCGTATAAGGGTCCACTGACAGAGGGAAACCTAGCTGACGAGGAGAGAAATCTCCCCGTGCAACTAGTGAGACCGCAAACCGGAACCGGAAGTTGCATCTGCCCATATTTTGATGACATCCTGATTGCGGGGGAATCAGCGGCAGTCCTGGCGGAACGTCTCCATGCAGTACTCCAATGTTTCTGTGAGGCAGGCCTAAAACTCAAGAAGGAAAAGTGCCAGATTGGCGTGGAATCCACAGAATTCTTGGGTTTCCACATCGATGCTGCCGGAATCCACCCATCTGATGCAAAGCTAAAGGCAATTCAGCAAGCCCCCACACCAAAATCCAAGGGGGAGCTACAAGCATTCCTGGGCTTGCTCAATTTTTACCACTCATTCCTATCACATAAGGCTGCCTTGGCAGAACCGCTACACTGCCTACTGGACAAAAAAACACCCTGGGTCTGGTCACGCACCCAAGACACAGCGTTCAAGGCAGTAAAATCATTGTTATCATCAGACTCTGTCCTAGCTCATTTCAATGAAAACTTACCAGTAACATTAGCTTGTGATGCTTCGCCATACGGCATTGGGGTATTACTAAGCCACAGGATGCCAGTTGGTAGTGAGGCCCCCATCACATACTATTTTAGAACGTTATCATCGGCTGAAAGAAACTATGCCCAGGTAGACAAGGAAGCCCTCGCCATAGTGGCTGGCAATAAGAAGTTCCACGACTTCTTATATGGACGAACCTTCACCATCTTTACAGACCACAAATCTCTGCTTGGTCTCTTCACAGCAGACAAACAGACACCGCAGATCCTGTCGCCATGAATGCTATGATGGTCCATTTTCATGTCTGCATACTCGTACCGGCTAGTTTACAAGCTGGGTAAGGAAATGGGCCACACCGATGCTCTCAGCCAACTGCCTCTACCGCAGACTGATCCAGACCCAGACACTGCTTATTGTATCCTGGTGATCCAGGACCTTCCTGAAGCACCCCTACATGCAGGGGACATTGCAGCTGAAACCACCACGGACAGAACACTTAGCCGCGTTCTCAACTGGGTGTTAAGAGGATGGCCAGAGACCCGGCCAGGCCCTGAGTTCCGTTACTACGCTTCTCGGAAAATGAACTGTCGGCCCACAAAGGATATGTGCTGTGGGGTAGTAGGGTCATCATTCCACCCAGTCTTCACTCCAGGGTGCTGGATTCCTTACACGAGGGGTACCCAGGAATTGTTCGAATGAAGGCTCTAGCCAGGAGCTACTTGTGGTGGCCAGGTCTGGATAAGGACATTGAGAATCAAGTAAGGAGTTGCCAGGCCTGCCAAGAAACCCAACTGGAAATGCCACAAGCACCAGTGCGCTCCTGGGAGACCACACACACACCATGGTCTCGTGTGCACATTGACTTTGCGGGCCCCTTCCAAGGGCAGGTGTTCCTAATTGTAGTAGACAGTTATTCCAAGTGGTTGGAAGTGGCACCGGTCTCATCGATGACAACAACCAGGGTCATCCAAGAGTTGTGTTGGCTGTTCACCACACATGGTCTGCCAGATGTAATCGTGTCTGACAATGGGGCACAATTCACGGCAGGAGAGTTTCAATCTTTCCTCAACACCAACATGATTCGGCATATAACATCCGCTGCATTCCACCCTGCGATCAACGGTCAGGCCGAATGAATGGTCAGGACCACAAAGGAGACGCTCAAGCGGATGACTACTGGGGACTGGAATCACCGCCTGGCAAACTTCCTCCTGTGTCAACACACAACTCCCAGTACAGCATAGGTCGCAGCCCAGCGGAGCTGAGGTGGGATCACCGGCTCACCATGAAGCTTGACCGACTTCACACAGACAGAGTAGCAGCAGAGATGGCTCAATCAAAGCCCCCCAGCTGGTTGAATTGGTCTGCGCCAAGAACTATAGAAGTGGGGCACCTTGGGTGACAGCTAGGGCAACTAAGATAATGGGGCCCTTGTTATTCTGGAAAATGATCGTATGGTCAGATGCCACATTGATTCAGTTACAGTGTCAGCAGGCCGGGCCAGTCCCGGGTGAGGATCCCGAGGTTTTGTCAGACACACAAGAGAACTGGTTTCCTCTGAGTTTGCCTACATCACCCGTGACTGCCTCTGGGGAAACGGAGGTACAAAAGGCCGTCGAGCCGCTGCCACTCACAGTGACCTAAACGGCCATCACGATTCTGTTCAACTGGAGATGGACAATACTCCACTTGAACAGGACTCTCCAATAACATTGGGGCAGTCCACCAGGATCCTCAGGCCCCTGGCCTATCTCAAATATGAATATTGAACAGACTGAGGATGATAACTATCCTAGGGGAAAGGGGTGTTATGTATTGAATATATATAAAATTGTGTTAATCCTGCTAAAGTGAAACTAACTTAACTCCAACTGCTTGTGAAGCTAAAATGAAACTAACCTTTAGATGATCCTGTTAACTCCAACGGTTTTGGAGGGAAACTTTGAACATTCATATTTGGGCAGGTTTTTCAAGTATTGTGATTGGTTAAGGCCCTGTGGGCTCAGAGTATACTGTAAACTACAGACAATTGCCTGCAGTTCTCCAGTTCTAGTTTGAGTTAATAAATAACGTTGTAACTATGCTGGTCTGCTCCTTGCCTATTGAAGCCCACTACCAATAGATAGATAGATAGATAGATAGATAGATAGATAGATAGATAGATAGATAGATAGATAATAAGTTTATGGAAACAGTTAAAATTTAAAAAGTCACATAAGAGCTAAGACCAAGGGGATGGATGGCATGGGAGTGAGGTCTTCTTATCCCATCAATATCTCCAGTAAGAAGCATTCCTATTGGGGCCCCAAGCCAACCAGCAAAACCAGGTTTTTAGGCCCCTCTGGAAGGCCAGGAGGGAGGGAGCAGATCTCACCTCTGATGATAGAATGTTCCATAGGGCAAGGGCCATAGCAGAAAACACTGTTCTCCTCAACCCTGCCAGCCAAAATTCCTTAGCAAATGGGGGCCTCAGTAAGGCCCTTCCACTGGAGCAAGTGGGGTGGGCTAATCTCACTGGGATGAGATCGCTTCTCAGATGTTATAGCATAACACCCTCTTGCTTCTTTTGACTTCAACTCACCTCCTGCTGCAGACATCACTGGATATAGGACTTGAGAGACACTTTCCATATATTATGAATTGCACTTCTAATCTGATCATATCAACTGCTTGAATGCAGGTAGATAAATTAATTTTATGGCACTTCATCTAATTTGAGAACCAATTTTCCTGAGATGCCTTTCATATAAGGAAATGAAACAGTTGTCAATCCTAATGCTTCACTAAAAAATTTCAAAAATGCATAGCTCCAAGTCCAGTTTACTATTTCGTTTCTTTAGAGGGGAGTTATATATAAAAATTTTCATTCTTTCATTTATCCAACAGGTACTTTAACCTTTCTTGTTTCTATGAGAACAGAAGATCTAAAAATTGCGACAGAAATGAAGTTCTATAATTCTTGTTTCTTTACTAAATACTTCTTCATAATTTTGTATAAACCCTTTCTATTACGGCAAGTGAGAGGAACAACCTATTTGAGACGACCTTCGATCGCTGTAGGAAAACATATAGCTAGAATATACAAATTTCTTCATTATTACTCACAGGATTTGAAGAATCTAAATTAACAGCTCTTGTGGAATCACGTATAGCTTCTTTAATCTTGCCTGGAAATAGAAACAGCAGAGAGAGACACTGATAATGGCTCACTCATCATAACATCAAACAAGCTTTACTGGTAGAAAAAGGAGGTTTATTTTCACCTCACACACTTTTTGTCAAATCAGCAAAATGACCTTTTGGGCCTCAAATATATACTGTAAATAACAGCTACTAGGTCTGGCTCATATGCAACATCAAGAATCACACAAACTAAACTTGAACCTTGATTAAGCCCCTGTCACTACAATATAGGAGAGAGAAATGGAAAGCACAGGTCAGAAGCTTGACAGGAACTCATCCATATAGCATTCAGCTATTATTTTGAGTATGTTGTGAACAGTTAATTTCTTCTAAAACTAGCTATGTACAGCAATGGAATATAAAAATGATGTATAGAAAGAGTAAAAACAAAGTAAACCAAATGGACCAAAAAGGATTTGAATACCATTATATCTGAAAACAAGTTATCATACTTCAACATTAAAAAATATAGAAACAGATTAGACCAAAATCAAATATAGTTACATTGTACTTTGTTATATGCACTAATCTGATTGCAAATCAATTCAAAAGTGTCATATACCCCATTTCATTGTGACTCCTCAACGTGTATGTGTACAAAAAAACCTAATGACATCTTCAGTTATACCCAGATGAGCTTTTCTCCTACAGTTGTACTGAATGAAAAACAGACTTTCTTCCTACAGTTGATCAAATAGTTTATAACAGAATAATAGAGCTGGAAGGAATTTTGGAGACCTTCTAGTGTACAACCCCTGCTCAAGCTGGAGACCCTATGGGGCTGTCCAGTCTCTTCTTAAAAGCCTCCAATAATGAAGCACCTACAACTTCTGAAGGCAAGTTGTTCCATTGATTAATTATTCTCATGGTTAAGAAATTTCTTCTTAGTTCTAGGTTTTTTCTCTCCTTGCTTAATTTCCATCGTTTCTTTTCTTGCCTTCTGGTGCTTTGGAAAATAGGTTGACCTCATCTTCTTGGTGGCAGCCCCTCAAATATTGGAACACTGCTATCATATCACCCCAGTCCTTCTTTTCACTAGACTAGACATACTCAGTTCCTGCAATTATTCTTCATATGTTTTAGCCTTCAGCCCTCTAATCAACTTTGTTGCTCTTTTCTGCACTCTTTCCAGAGTCTCAACATCTTTTTTATAATATGGTGACCAAAACTGGATGCAGTACTCTAAGTGTGGTCTTACTAAGGCTTTATAAAGTGGTCCTAGTACTTCATGTGATCTTGAGTTTATCCTTTCATTAATGCAGTCTAGGATTGCATTGGCTTTTTTGTTTGCTGCTGCACACTACTGGCTTATATTTAAGTGATTGTCCATTAGGATTCCAAGATCCCTCTCACAGTTACTGCTACTGAGCCAGGTTTTACCTAACCTATACCTGTAAGTTTGGCTTTTCTTGCCTAAGTGTAAAACCTTACTTTTCTCTACACTGAATTTTTTTTTTTGTTAAACATTTGTCCCATACTGGCAGGGAGTAAAACTCAAGCAAAGTTTTTTCAACTTGGGATTTTCCACATGCATAGCCTGTGATATGTGATATTCTTGCAAAATGTAAATATTCTTACTGCACAGAAATTAAATTTAAGTTTATTTAGACCATCCATACAATGGTCTAAAGTCTAAACAGAGCCTAAATGCATACATATTGTACAAATATAGGATATATTCAGGCCTTCAGTTAAATGCTCAGAAATTGTGAGTGTGGGTGTTAGTCCACATTCTTTGTGTTGATTTTCACTGAATTTCAAACCAAATCTCTGTAAGATTTAAAATCGTAACACAGTTATGACTCATTCCCTATTCCTGTTCTTCTACAGTGCCAATGCAAATATCTATATCTATATCTCAATTTTATTGTTTATCTTGCTACAAAAACAAGAGTTGAGTTGAAGTACAATTCTTTTTTAAAACATACCACATTTCACATATGAATAAGCTCTCCTTGCTAAAACAGGTATCTGATAGAAAGACCCAGAAGCACAACCAACTTGACAGACGTTCTGGCAAAAAGAAAACATCATGTGAACTGAAATAGATAACCAGGTTTTCAGTACAGTGCACTGCTATGTCATTATATACATTGTCACTACAAATCTAATGGAATTCTTGAGTAGTTTGCCTTAGTCCCACTGCTCTTTTATTTATTTCACATTATAGATCTTATTTGCACCAGCAGGGTTCTATCAGGTTACTCCCTAAACTATTCCGACTCTTATGGGGATGATTTATAGCATTTCTCAAGTAATGTTTCCATAATTATATCAACTTTGAAAAACATAAGAACTCAAGAGATTAGACAAGTAAAAATACAATAACATTATATATATTATCATATACTGTATTTGCTTTCATTCTTTCAAAAGAGAATGTACTGTAGAAATGATTTAATTACATTACACTGGAGCTATAAAAGATAATACAACACAATAATTTCTGTTTTATCTGTAATATAAACAGATCACAAGAATACACATACACACAAAAAGCATCATGTTACTTCCTATTGGGGAAAGCATTATTATGAAAAATGCAGAAATAGTACAGAACATAAAGGCATGATATAAGAAAAAATAAAAGGAAATATATGTAAATCCACTTTTTATGAATTCCTTTCACTATATCCCTCAATAGTTTTACAGTTTTGCAAACTAGCTTTATTTCTGTTATCTCTATACATTGTTTTAAATACTGACTTCTGTTCTTCTCACTTGTCTTTTTAAGATCTCATCAACTCTATCCAATCACAAATTTCTAGGATTACCCCTTCCACTCAACCAAGTCACTCTTCTACACATACGTGTTCCAGAACAGCGGTTCTCAACCTGTGGGTCATGACCCCTTTGGGGGTCGAACAACCCTTGTTCACAGGGGTCACCTAAGACCATCGGAAAATACATATTTCTGATCGTCTTAGGAACCGAGAACCCCCCTGCCCCTCTTTCTTTTCCGGCAACTGGAGCCCTTTTCCGCTGCCGTGCTCCCATTTCCTGCCGGACCAGCGCCTTTAAGAGGGCAGAGCCGGTGCCGGGAACTGGCGTCACTTTCCAGCCGAGAAGCTCTCCGGGTCCGTGAGCGGAGGGGCCGCTGCCGACCACCGCCGCTGCTTCCTTGCACGCCCCCTCCTCCTTGCCTGCCTACCTCTGCCACTGGGCCCGGGTGGGGAAGGGAGCGGGAAGGGGGAGGAGCCCCCCACGTGTGTGTGCCCCCAAGAGGGAGGGGGTGGGGAGGGCGGTATCAGGCCTGCCTGCTACAAGTCATGCGAGGCGCCCTTCCGGGCCAGCTGAGGCGTGCGCAGGCGGCTGGCCGCTGATCTGAGGCACCGCGCTGCAAGAATGCCTTCTTCGCCCAGCTGGCCCAGGAGCCGCTGCAGGGAAGGGACCGACAGAAGTGCCAGGCAAATGGGTGGACAGGCACAGCTGGGCAAGCGGAGCAGTCAGCAGCCCAACTTCCTGTGTTGCCCGCTTACTCCCCCCCAGACAGGAGGGGGCACCATTCAGAGAGCGAGGGGCGAGTGACCCCTGCAGCCCCCCTCACAGTCCCCCTCCCTGACGGCTTTGCGGGTGTTAGGGACCCGGTCGCAGCGCCCCTCGGACCAACCGGCGGCTTCGAGCTTCTTCAGGTGGCCTCGGAAGCTGTATCTCCTTTCCACTGGAAAAGGCGTCTGTTGGGGGGCTCTTCTTGGGGACCCTCCCAAGGCTTCCCCCTTCCCCAGCTTTCAGCTGGGCGGGCCGGCTCCCGTCACCCATTTTGAGGGAGGCAGAAATGCCACCGAATCCAGGCTGGCATTTGGCGGCCTTGCAGCCCGCTCTGCCGCCGTGGCTGCCCGGGTGGAAGGCCGCTCATTCTGCCGCACTCGCTTGAATCCCAGGGGTTTGATTGAAAAGTGATTAATGAACATTAAGTAACCACATGAAGATGGTTAAGTCCACGATGCATAGAGGAAAAAAAGGATACGAAAAGTGGTAGTGATTGGAGAATTTCCCCCCCTTTCTATAAATCATGGGCTGCCCATATGTAGTCAATTTAAGAGTGAGAAGTGAATGGTTCAGCTCCATTTCAGGGGCTTAAAACCATTGACAATGGATCGTATAATTAGAACTAAATATTTCACAATATATAATTACATATTATTTTTGTGATTAATCACTATGCTTTAATTATGTTCAATTTGTAACGATGAAAATACATCCTGCATATCAGATATTTACATTACGATTCATAACAGTAGCAAAATTACAGTTATGAAGTAGCAACGAAAATAATTTTATGGTTGGGGTCACCACAGCATGAAGAACTGTATTAAAGGGTCACAGCATTAGGAAGGTTGAGAACCACTGTTCTAGAATTTGACACTATTTATTCTCTCCACTCGTTCATTCCTAACCATACCTGATCTTCTTTTTAAAATAACACATATTTCTTAAGTAAGTCATTTTTACTTTATTTAATTTATTTCTACTATTTATTTTATTTTAATTATTTTTATTTTATTTTATTATTTTATTTTAACCCTCAGCTCACTGTCTAAGTGACTCAAGTTTCAGATTTCTCCCACCATATCTAACTCTCATAAAACAAAGTGAACAGAATCCCACTTCCATACACAGGCATTTTTACTTCTTTTGTTACATACTCATTCCTTACAACATACCATATACTACTACTTTTTTATCAGCATTAATACACCTTCAAATTTTTCCGTGCATTTTCCTATTTTTAGAAAGCATTCTACCTGGGTATACAAATTCATCTATTTGCTCTGATTTTTTAACTGCTTTTGCATTACTTGCTATCATTCACTCCATTTTTCCTTTCAAATACAGCTATCTTGATTTTTGATAAATTTATTTTCAGATCTTCACTCTACATCATACAGACTAACATTTGCTGCAAACCATTTCAATTATAAGGCAACAGCAGAGCATTGTTTGCTTACAAAAGAACAGGCACCTGGCCTATTCATAGCCTTCCATTCTCACTAATACATTCTTCTCATCACTATGTACATACATATTAATAATATACATCATATATATTCTTGTCTTGCATCCCGTTTGGTTTGTACTTGTACTATACTGGGCAAAATATGCCCAAACTTAGTACTTACTGCGCTTGTTGTTAGAACAATACAGTGTGCTGTTTATAGTGTCAACACTGCAACTTCATTTTCGGTTGCCACAGTGGAGAGGGGGGATGTGTGCTTTTAAGGGTAGACATAATAATAAGTTGGAACCAAGGTCATTGCTGCTTGGGTTTTGGCGGGCTGAGCTTTCTGCTAGAAAGCCCGCTAAAGTAGTTTATTGGGGAATGTGATTTATGACATACTACTGGGATGGGAAGTTCAACTTTATAACTTTGTAACAGTTGGGAGGGAATTTTAGTCTTGGTTTCACTTTTGATCATGCCAATATGTTCTTTAAGGAAACCTTTTGCCTTGGAGTTCTGTTTTACTGGTCTCATCTATCGGAACCATGACATTAAACCAAGACTCCAATTCATTTTAAAAATGGGGTCCTAAGCCCCAGTCACCCACCTAAACTTTTGGGAGGATGATAAAGACTCAGGGAAGACATCGAGATGAAAAAGAAGGGGGAATCGGTCGCTAGCCTCAATGTGACGGCTGCGGTTGGAATGCAGGCTACAGCCCAGGCAGAAAGTGCAGCCCTTGCAGACGAAGCAAGACCGAAAGCCTGGGAGATACCACTGGAGAGGATGGTGCAGCAGAAAGGAGCACTCACCCTCAGAGGGACTTGGCGAAAGGATGCTGCCCTGCCACAGAGAAGCACTGTTAAGGCTGTGGAAGCTGAGTTCCCATTGCTCTCATCCCACAGACTTCATTTTCTGAGAAAGGCAAAATGGCCAGCTGCTTGGGATGAATCAGGAGAATGGAGGTACCTGACTGCCATCCACAGCCATTCCATTGAACACTTGAGAGAGAAGTTTGATTGACTTGAGATGGGGGAAGTAGAGCTGATTACCCAGCAGGTAATTTCCAGTGAGCGAGAGGACAGGCATCTCCAAGACTGTCAACTGCCATGGCAAAGCCCCAGTCCCATAGCAATGGCTCGTGCTGCCTCCCTGCTACCTAGACCAGCTTTAACATCAAGCCCAGTGCACTGGCAGAACCCTGATCGTTATCAATGCCCTGCCAGCCCTGACTGTTATCGATGCCCTGCCAGTCTAGGATCCCAACCAAGAGCTTTCCAAGGATGGGATCTTCAGCAACCCCAACACCAGAGGCCAGACATACAGCAAGCTTACTGGGGGCATTGACCTGTAGACCCACCCCCAGTCAAGCCCATATTTGACGGGGATCCCAAGAAGCTGTCCTTTTTCCTGAACCAAGTGTGGGCTCACATGAATCATTATGCCCATGCTTACCCAGACAGGGCAAGAATGGTTGATGGTATGGCAGCGAATTTAGAAGGGGAAACAGCCGAGTGGGTGACTGGCCTGCACGACGAGCAGGCACCAAAGCTATGGGACTTCAATCTGTTTATGCGCGGGCTGAGAGCCAGATTTGAAGATGAATCTCAAGTCCTACAAGCTGAAAAGGACATCCACAATTTGAAGCAGAGATGCCGGCCAGTAAAATAATATGTAAGGGAATTCTGAAGGGTGGCTGGATGGACCACGCAATGGCCTGAATGATCACTGATTCACCACTTCAAGGCCAGTTTGGACCACAATTTATTCCAAGTGTGCACCTACAGAGGGATTCCTGACCAGCTTCATAAATGCTGCCGCCTGGTTATAAACTTAGACATCAAACCGAACCACTACCAAAGACCCGCAGCATCAGAATCCAGACCAAGACGAGACCAAATGAAATGTCAGGTGCCCCAGCACCCCCCACCTGCCATAGCTGCTGGTTCCCTAGAGCAGGGCTTTTTATCCGGTGGTACACATACCACTTGTGGTACATTAACGAGTTCCAGGTGATATGCAGCCCTGCCTAGCCAAGTGTAGTGGGGGAGGGAAAGAGCCAGTGCAGGCAAGAACATACTGTGAGAGAGTCCTCTAGAGCTGCAGGGTGGCTGGGGTGAGGCAAAGGCCCCAGGCTCATTTCTGGCTCACCCTCCCCCATGAGAAAGGAGGAGGAGGAGGCAGAGACAGGAGAGGCTATAAAAGGAGGCAGTTTGGGTGGCAGAGGGAGAGAGAAAAAAGAAGCAGCCTTAGGAGGAAGTGGAATCAGCTCTAGCTGCACCGAAAGGGAAAGAAGAGGGGGGGGAGAGGAGCTCAAGCAGGCCGGCCAAGAGCCGATCTACAACTTCTGTGGCAGCCACTTGTGCTAGCAGCAACAAACAGACAATAAATGCAGCAGGGGAGGGGTTGCCCTCCATGAGGAATGAAGAAAGTAGCATCAGCTGGAGGTGAGACATGGAGGGAGGGATATGGAGAGTGGAAGGATTCTTATGTGCTTTTGTGACTTTGAAGTTCTGGGATTTGTGAAATGAGGGCTTTGTGTTCTTAAGGAGTGTTTGGCAATTTCTATTTGGCTGATGGCTGATGTCTCATGTTAGCTTGTATTTCTCTGCTATTGTTAGCTGTAAGTTTTGCTGCAAGGGATTTTGAAGTATTTTTCTCCTGAATGGATTTTGCCTGCAGCATTTGTTTATTTATGAATGGAGCCATTTCAGGAGGCTGCCTTAGCCAGAAGCCAGTACTTACTACATTTTTTTTCTTCCTTAAGTCCCGGCTGCGCTCCTTACTTTCCTTTCTAGCCAGTAGCTAATTCTTAAAGGGAAATGTGCCTTTTTAAGCTAGTTCACTCAGCAGCTTGTCTTTTCTGTCTCTGGAGGTTTTCCTTGTTTGATGAATATAAGGAAGAGGGAAAATATGGGGGGTTTCAAATTCTTCCTTCAGAAGGAGGTGGACATGAGAAAGAGGGAGGCAGGGAAGGAGGGAGGGAAGTTCCGTCTTAACACTTGGCCACCAGCAGCCCTGCCATTGACTTTGCTTGTCAAAAGCTTGCAAAAGGGGATCACATGATCCTGGAACACTGTAACCATCATAAATATGAATCAGTTGCCAAGCATCCAAATATAAATCATATGACCCTGGCATGCTGCAATGGTCATAAGTGTAAAAAATAGTCACAAGTCATTTCAGTGCAATTGCAATTTTGAACAGGTTTATTGTTTTTGTTTTTTTTGGTCATCAAGTTTTTAACACCTTGCTAGGTGGTACTTGAATATTGCCATATCCTAAAAGTGGAACAGTCAGTGGAAAGGTTGAAGAGCCCTGCCCTAGAGTACCTACCAGACCCCCGATCAAATGCTTTAGATATGGACAACTTGGACACCGAGCAACTGACTGCCCAGTTCCTTTTCCTCCAACTAAGAGTGCACCCACTGTTTCTACAAAACCTAAAAGAAGACCCTGACCAGTGCATGAGAAGTTGAATTGAGCCAGCCAGGAACAAGCTGCACAAGTTACCTCTCTTCCCCAGGGGAAACATGAGATTCCGGCTGAACGCTTGCCTCCATCTGCCCCTTGCAACAGTGACAATGAAGGAGAAGACATCCCAATGGTGAGTGAGCCTGTCCCACCTTTTGCCTTCTCTGCAAAGCTCTTAGTCCCTAAGACAGGAGCCCAAATAGATTTACATGTTTTAATTGACTTAGGCTGCACCTGATACTTGATCAACCTCCCCACGGTGCTTAAGCTAAGCATTTGTGCCAAATTGTTGTCCATACCCATGAGGTTCGAGTAGGCAGATGGATCCCTTATAGGAGGGGCTCTGGCCACTCACTTGACCGAATCAGTATGTCTAGAGGTGGGGGAGCATTGGAAACTCATCTGTTTCATAGTAGTCCCAAAAATGACTGAGGCAGTACTTTTGGGATTAGCCTGGCTTGATAAGTGGTAGCCCATGATCTGGTGGGAAAACCAAGTGAGGACTTTAAGATTAGCAATGGGACCTTCACCTCCTACCCCGGTCAGCAGCACAAGTGAAAGCCAGGGCAGTCCCTTGAGACCCTGAAATCACAAACTTCCTACCTGGGATGCTGCTCATCCCAAGCGAATATCAAGACTTAGCTGAGGCATTCAGCGAGACAGAATGCGACATCCTGCCTCCCCACAGAACGACTGACTGTGCTATTAAGATTTTGCCGGGAGCCAAACTGCCCAAGCCAAAAGTGTACTCAATGACCCCCCACGAATTGAGAGAGCTGAGAGAGTACATTGATAAGAACTTGGGCAGAGGGTTCATTCAGCCAATAAAATCCCGAGTAGCTGCCCTGTACTTTTTAAAGAGAAGAAAAATGGGTCGCTGAGGCTCTGCGTTGTTTTTAAAGGGTTAAACACAATCAGCATGGAGAATATGTAACTCCCTCCCTTTAATAAAAGACATGTTATCCCATTTGGCAAAAGGCAAGTTTTTTACCAAGTTAGACCTAAGAGAGGCATACTATCGAGTGAGAGTCAAAAAGGAGCTGAGTGGAAGACAGCTTTAACAGCCCCCTGGGAAGTTTTCAGTTCAAAGTTATGCCATTTAATCTGCAGGGGGCCCCTGTTGTATTCATGCAATTGATCAATCAAGTGCTGCATGATCACCTGTACAAGGGGGTTGATGACATCCTCATTTAAACAAAGACCATGGCAGTGTGTATTAAATTAGTGCATGAAGTAGTAAAAAAAAACTGATGAACACTAAGCTTTACGCAAAGCTCTCAAAAATGTTCATTCCATTGAATGTACCTGGACTACCTAGGATATAGAATTTCCAGTGAAGGCATTGAGATGGATCCAGCCAAGGTTAAAGCTCTAACAGAATAGCAACCCCTATGGACCCACAAACAACTCCAAAGTTTTTTGGGATTCACAAATTTCTACCAGCAATTCATCCCCTCTTTTGCTGAGATCGCTTTGCCAATTACTGAACTGTTAAAGACTGGGAAAAACAGGGGGAAGCCATGACCCTGTCAGCCCCTGCCATGGTCTATAGAATGCCAAACTGCTTTTGAGAACTTAAAGAGACTGTTTGCGACAGAGCCTGTTCTCAAACACCCCAACTCTGAGGAATAATTCATTATCCAAGCCGATGCTAGCAATGACGCTGTTGGGGCGGTCCTTTTGCAAAGAAACAAAAAGGGAGACTTGCAACCCTGGGCCTACACCTCCAAAAAATTAACACACTGAACGAAGGTGGGCTGTTTGGGAGAAGGAAGTTTTGTGGTGAGATGGGCTCTGCTAACTTGGCATCATTTCCTCGAGGGGGGCAAGGTACCTTTTGAAGTATGGACTGATCATAAAAATTTAAGAGGCACTGAAACCCCACCCCCCGGTAAGTTATCTCCCAAACAAGTCCACTGGGCACAGTATTTTAACCATTTTAATTTTACACTAAAGTATATCCCAGGGGACAAAAATTTCTTGGCTGATGCCCTGTCCAGGATACCTCAGTATAAGAGTTACCCTGAAGAGATTGTGAACTCCATCATTCCACAACCCTGGGTGGCCAACTGTAGGCAAAGCCACTTGAGCCAGATAGCCCATTAATTAAAAAGCTTAAAGAAGAATTGAAAACTGACTCCTGGTTTCAGGAAAACAAAACCATACTAACTTATCAAAATGGGCTACCCTGGAAGGGATCAAAACTGTATTTACCAGAAACACTTAGAGTTTAAGCCCTTCAGTGCAGCCATGATACCAAACAAGCTGGTCACTTTGGATACCTAAAGACTTTACATTTGATTAGGAAGCAGTTTTGGTGACCAGGTTTTAAAAAAGGATGTTGAAATCTATGTGAAAAGCTGTGCAATGTGTGCAACTATGAAGAAACATCCCGGTAAGCCTCCTGGTTTATTATAAATTGCAGACCCTTCCCAACCTTGGGAAGAGATTGCCATGGACTTTATTGTGGAATTACCAGAAAGTAGGTGAAATACAGCCTGCTCCGGTCTCTCCTCTACAAAGAAGTTAGCCAGAATGTTTCTTAAACTTATATACTGGCTCCACGGAGCACCAAAACGAATTATTTCGGATAGGGGAGTCCAATTTACTGTGAGATTTTGGAGGGACTTCCTTAAACTGATTGGATCCATCCAAGGACTATCATCGGCTTTTCATCTGTCTATGAATGGAGTGGCTCAAAAAGCGAACATGATGGTGGAATAATACATTAGGTGTTATGTTGATTACCAGCAAATGACCTGGGCTGACCTCCTTTTTGCCAAGGTGGCTTATAATAACACAGTACACAACAGCACTGGACTCACCCCCTTTAAAATAACTACTGGTAGAGAATTCATTCCTATGCCTGAATACCTGCAGGACTCTCCCGCTTCTCAAACCTTAGATCAGTGGGTGATCTCTTGGAAAGCTGATTGGGACAATACAAAAAAACTTTAGCAAAAGGCTCAACAATTTACAAAGAGCAGGCTGACAAAAAAAGGGCTCCTCTGAAGTTGTTTCGAGTTTGTCTGGGGGAGTTTATCTCTCTACAAATTTACTCTACATATTTAAGACTCAAATTGCCTAGTAAAAAATTAGGACCAAAATTCCTTGGACCTTTCCCCATAATTCAAATTATAAACCCTGTCATAGTAGAGTTAAAACTCCCTCCTCTTTTGGGGAAAATCCACCCTGTTTCTCACTGCAGCTTCTTGAATCCTTTCAGAGAGTCCTCTTTAAGACCTCCTCCAAGACAGGCATCTGGTCCCCTTAAAGTGGAGGGAGAGACCCATTATGAAATAAAACGAATCCTTAACTCTAGGTTATACAAAAGAAAATTACAGTATTTGGTACAGTGGAAAGGTACCCACTGTCAGAGGCCACTTGGGTGAAAAGTACCGAGGTTAAAGCAGATAGAGCAATACGTAAATTTTTCGATAAGCACCCTCATAAGCCTCAGGCAGATTTCTAACTCTAATTCTTCCTCATTTTACAGGATTTATTTTTCTCTAGAGCAGGCATGTCAAACTATTGGGAATTTTCCCCATTGCCAGCAATGGGGTGGGTGCGGTTTCAGCGTGACACATCTAACCCACGAGCCGGCAGCTTGACATGCCTGCTCTAGAGGATCCAACTGTCAATGCTGCAACTTCGTTTTTGGTTGCCACAGTGGGGAGGGGGGATGTGTGCTTTTAAGGGTAAACATAACAATGAGTTGTCTTGTGGGAACCAAGTTCATTGCTGCTTGGGTTTTGGTGGGCTGAACTTTCTGTTAGAAAGCCCGCTAAAATAGTTTATTGGGGAATGTGATTTATGACATACTACTTGGGTGGGAAGTTCAACTTTGTAACTTTGTAACAGTTGGGAGGGAATTTCAGTCTTGGTTTACTTTTGATTGTGGCGATACTTTGTAGCCAATAAATATGTTCTTTAAGGAAACCTTTTATGTTGGAGTTCTGTTTTTCTGGTCTCATCTTTCGGAACCATGACATATAGCATGGATGCAAGTAAGCCTGATAATTTACTCCACCTCTTTCTAATGAAAAGCATTCTGCAAAAGTATTATATAAAATATCACAGGAATATCCATAAGGAAAGAAATGTATTTTTCACACTTCAGTTTTGTATAAAGGAATAATCTACAGTTTCAGGATCTATACTACCTGAAGAAACTATTTCAGTGTGAACATATTTCAGGAGGCTGTGCTTTCTCTGTTCCTGGCTGCACCCTCGAAAGTTCCTGCTGTCCTCTAAAAAACCTCTAGATACCCAGCTTTTCAGTTTGTTATCCCAACCTATAGAGGATGAATAATTGGCATTTAAGAGGGTTTTTCATTAACATGCATTACTTCTCTGCGTAAATATGTACATTGTTTGTGTTTTATATTAGTTTTGATGATATTTTTATTCAGCATACTTCATTCAGAAAAAAAATGAACAGGGGTATATGTATTTTTTTCTATTTATAAGTGACTGGTGATTTCTCAATGCTTCTATTTCTTTTAATCTGCCTAACAAAATAACAAAAATGAAATAATTCCACAATAGGTTTTGACTGATGATGCTAGAAGCCACTAACTTAAAAGGTCTCTAAGAGGTTATCGTTCCCTAAATATCTATTTACATCAATATTTTCTAAAAGGATAGACATAAAAAGTTAAAATCCCTGGTACAGCCCATATCTAGAAGGCATTAATTTAGGAAAAAATCACTTTAATAGATATTCTTGATAAATATGTATCAATATGATGAATCTTCAGAGTCTGTTAAGCCTACAATACAACGGAAACTAATTCAATAGAAAAACAGAAACAATTGATGGGAATTAGAAAAAGATAACATAAAGGAAGTAAGATAAACACATAGGCAAAAATACCTGGGTCTTAGTGGGAAAAAGAAGAAGACAAATATAAAAAATAGCTGTAAGAGGAAATGACTAGCCAGGAAAGACATGTTGAATTGGAAAACAGGAAAATAAACTGAATAAGATAAGAGGAAAGGCACACTAAATTGAAAAACAGGAAAGAACCTATTGCTCTAAAAGCGGGACATAAATATCCATCGAGTTTAAAATAACCATTTAAATGTCTAATTTTTCTTATAATTGTTGCATACGTGAATATGATTTAATATGTTGTCAGGAAATGTGTAAAAAGCGGACGGAAAGAGTATAATCTCATAGTACCTCAGCCAATGGGGAAAGAGGAGGGATGTAGCGGCCGAGACAGGGCTGTATAAAGAAGGGAATATTTTGGGTTAAAACTTTGAAGAGAACCAAGCTTATTGCAATAAACAAAACAAAAGGCCTTCACTATGTCTTGGCTGGTTATTGGTCAGGCAAGCTTGTCTCTGGTCACGAAGGAAAGTAGCCAAGAGCACATAACATTCTCGATCCATGCAGTAATTGTTGCACTAACCTAACCACTTTATTGTAACTATGTAAGAAATTTTATGAACTGGAATAGCCATAGCAACAAACCAGCCAATGAGAACTGTTTTTGATTAAGACACGGTATTGGCTGTATGAGGCATGTGATCCAGCCTAGGTCTGGGCGTGTCTTAATCTTCTCTATGTTTTCTTTTCTGATGTCCAAGTTAAGAGTTGTTGTTCCCCAGAGCTGAATGAAACTGTATGTATCATGTTTATATATATTTTATAGATAAAAGTTTTTCTAAACTATGCCTCCTGCTCATTTTGAATGTGTGCTTATTTTGGGGGCTTATTTTTATGCTGAAAGCTGTAAAACTCTAACAGGTTATGGGCCCAGATCCCAGCCAGCCCTTGCACACAGTTCAGACTGAAGAAAAAGATTGAGGCTCAATACAGAGCTGTAATTAAGCTGAAGGACTGTCTGAGTTAAATAAGAAAGAAAAAGGCTGTTCAGCTGAAGGCTTGCAGGATGGCTGATTTAAAGGAGAGCTCTCTGCCTTGATTGGGACAAAAGAATTATCTTATTTGGGCTGCAAAAATGGAATGCTTCCTGAAGGCTAAGGTGCTCTGGGATGTTGTGATTAATCAACCCGGGGCAATTAGCAGCTGCAGATCAACGGAGGCATGATAAGGCACTGGCTTACATCGTCTTAAGTGTGGAAGATGAACAATTCTTAAACGTAGCTGACTTAAAAACTGCAAAAGAAGTTTGGTTGAAGTTGAAAAGCGTGCATGTGAGTGAGTCAGCATGCAATATAGTGCAATTATTGAGGCAATTGTACAGAACCTGGCTGCTGCCACAAGAGAGCATAGAAGAGCATTTGCTCCACATGCAGAAACTGTTTGTTGAAATAGAAGAGCGGGGACTGCAGATTCCTGAATCTCAGAAGATGCTGTTGGTATTAAATAGTCTTGATGAAACATGGGCCATTGTTTCAGCTATTTTTGAAGGCAGACCAGAACAGGAATTAAGTATGGAAGGACTTAAAGCCTGTTTGATTTCAGAAGAACAGAAATGCCATTTTAGAAGAAGCCACAGGAAGAAATTCCTGAGGTGGGGATCCAAGGAGCAGAGAGAGCAAAGCAGCAGACTGTCTACAGAGATCAAATTACATCTCAGCAGAGAATTCCCAAGTGGAAAGAACAGGAGAAAAAGAAATATTTTATTTGTGGAAGGAAGAACAACAGTAAATGAACGAGCTGCTGTTGCAAAAGTTAGCTATTGTAATAGCAGAGACAAATGGTTAATAGACAGTGAGGCTAGTCAAACAATTGTTAATAAGTTGTTTTCCAGATTGGATTCAATTGGAGGAGATGCAGTTTAAATGGCCAGAAGGCAAAAGTCATGGGGAAAGGCAGTGTGTTGATTCCATGCCTGGAGGAAAGGTTTAATAATGTAATGTGTGCCTGAAATGGAGCATAATTTACTAAGTGTCTCCGGTCTTGACAAACAAGGGTTTGAGACCACATTTGTAAATGGGAAATGTCTCATAACAAGAAATGGGAATGTATGTGCACAGGGCATAAAACAGGATAATCTTTATGTGTTGCAGGCACAAACGATTTAATGTGTCCAAACATTTGATAATGTGGCATAACATGATTCATGCATTCATCTCTTGCACAGAAAGCTTGGCCATTGTTCTGGATTGTATAACTCTATGTAACCCTAACTAGACAGCATGTACCTGTATGTTAGAATATCTGGCATTTATTAGGTTAAGTGCTGTCTCCTTAAGAGATGGCTTATGGGAAATGTAGTTTTAGCTAGTCAGTCATCCCATGTTAATGGGTCAGTGGGAGGAGTTTCTTAAGCAAGAAAAAAAATGTAAGTACTGGCTGCCGGCTAAGGCAACCTCTCCAAATGGCTCCATTCATAAGTAAACAAATGCTACAGGCAAAATCCATTCAGGAGAAAAATACTTCAAAATCCCTTGCAGCAAAACTTACAGCTAACAACAGCAGAGTAATAGAAGCTAGCAGGAGACATCAGCCATCAGCCAAATAGAAATTGCCAAACACTCCTTAAGAACACAAAGCCCTCATTGCACAAATCCCAGAACTTCAAAGTCACAAAAGCACATAAGAATCATTCCACTCTCCATATCCCACCCTCCATGTCTCACCTCCAGCTGATGCTACTTTCTTCATTCCTCATGGAGGACAACCCCTCCCCCGCTTCATTTGTTGCCTGTTTGCTGCTGCCAGCACAGGTGGCTGCCACAGCAGTTGTAGATCCGCTCATGGCCAGCCTGCTTGATCTCCTCTCCCCCCCCACCCCTCCCCCTCCTTCGGTGCAGCTGACTCTGCCTCCTCCCAAGGCTGCTGCTTTTTTTCTCTCTCCATCTCCTGCCCAAACTGCCTCCTTTTATAGCAGCAGTTCTCAACCTGTGGGTCGTGACCCTTTTGGGGGTCGAACGACCCTTTCACAGGGGTTGCCTAAGACCATCGGAAAACACATATTTCCGATGGTCTTAGGAACCGAGACACCGCTCCTCTATCTGTCTCCAGGCGAGGGGAGCGGGAGGCGGAAGAAAGCCCGAGCAGGGAGGGATCTGGCCCGGCAAGGGGGGAGCCATGTTCGGGCGCTGCTTCTGGAGCTCGCCGATGCTGGCCTGGCTCTGGCATGCTTCAAGGTAGAGGTTGTCTGCTGCGTTGCCGCAGGGAGCCTCAGCTGGCTAAAGCACCTTTCAGAGAAAGAGCGAGGCTGCAGTGCAGCATGGCCCTGCTTTCCCCTGCAGGGCGACCCAGCCAGCAGCATTGTTTCAGGGAGGAGGGAGAGGAGGAAGAAGAAGGCATCTGCCTGGTGGGCTGCTACCTCCGCCTCCTCACGACGAAGAAGTACTTTGAGGCAGATGGCAGGTTATAAAACTGACGCTCGGCTCAAAGCGAGGATGGGCGGGCTTACGAAGCCACTGCTCCTCTGTGGGCGGATGGATAGCTGGACGGGTAGGAAAGTTCCCCGACTCTTCTGCTGTGGAGGAAGAAAACCAAGCTTCGAGATCTTGCGAGCAGGCGTGCAGATGCGACTGAGCTTGCAAGAAGCCCGGCAAGCTTTACGTTGACACGGGCAGTTTATAAAAGGAAGGAACGGTCTCCTCATGCTCTGGATTGGGGGAGGGATGGTGGTATGTCCGTTCGCTTCTCAGAAAAGGCTGCTCGAGACATCTCCATTGCTAAAAGATAATGCCCTTGATGTTGAAGGTGTCCTACATTAGGAAAAAACAAAACACAATCCCCACGCAAAAACAGTTCTCCCGTGATAATGCAAAACCTAATGAAGAGCGTAGCTGTTTTTATTACTCTTATCACAACTCTGAGAAGTAAGTTGGTGGCAGTTGCTGCACAGGAGTTAACTGAGCTCCCAGATAACCCATCCTCACACAATTGGAAGTTTGCATTAGATCCCCTAAATTCCCAGTGATAGATCACACTAATGATAAATGTGGGAGCTTTGTTCCTACTTATGTGGTGGGCATAAAAGTATAGTAGCTTTTTCTTCTCTTCCTATGGCAGCCGATTCCCTCCCCTTGTCCTCTCTTCCTCTGAGATCCCTGCAGCCCTCTGTAAGACAGCACATTTTTGATTCCTGCTGCTCAATCCTTCCTCCTCCCCCTCCCTGATGGCTTCCTACTTGTGGGATGCAGGGGAAGGGAGCGCCATTTCATTACAGGTGGGAGAAGGAAAACTGGTCCAGGCAGTGAAAAGGGAAGAGATCAAAGGGGGGGGAGGGCTTTGGAGATGAAAGCTGCTTTGGGTGGATGTTTTGGTCTGCAGCATGTGTTTCCCTTTCCCCTCCTGCCTACCTTTTCTCTGTTTCCTAGTGTGCCTCTGGAAAGCTGGGAAGGGGGGACAAAATGAATCTGCTCCTAGTGTGGAATCAAGAAGCTCCAAGGGGCCTTTTCTTGCAGTTGCTGCAGTAATGCCCCCCATTCTTCCTGCCCTGGCTGCTGCACCAAAAGCAGTTGATTATTGCTCAGTGGAACCAGCAGTGGGGTGGGAGGAAGGAATGGATTTCCCTTCTGCTGCCTCTGCTTCAGTGGACAAGACCTCCTTCCAAAAATCTCTCCTAAGATTCTGGCAGGCACAGCTCCAGAACTGAGCTATGCTGGCTCAGGAATTCTGGGAGTTGAAGTCCACAAGTCATAAAAGAGCCAAGGTTTCCCTTCTGCCTTCTTCAGAGACAGAAGCTCTGAAGGTCATTAGGATCAATTGTCCTGGAAGGACAGGGGTCCTCTTCCACACCTTCAGTGAATTTCAGCTGGAGGTAGAAAAACGGGCAGTGGCTCAGGCTGAAGAGGCAAATTGTGTAGGCCACATCACACACATGGACAACAAATGTCTGCAAGTATAGCTCCCCTTGAGTATCACCTCAACTAATCCTTATTTTCTCCCATCCCATAAGCACTCCCCCTCATACACAATCATATTTATTTTTCACAGGTCATGCTTAACCTAATCAGGCAACTTCAAGGGCTCATTTAAAGAAGAGAAAAGGTCAGGTCTCCCTTCAGAGCCATAGGTGGAGCAGCTGAAGGTGTGATTCGGCACCCATGCTTCAAAACAAAATTTCATTTATTTGTAATTAGAAATAAATATTTCACAATATATAATTACATATTGTTTTTGTGATTAATCACTATACTTTAATTATGTTCAATTTGTAACAATGAAAATACATCCTGCATATCAGATATTTACATTACGATTCATAACAGTAGCAAAATTACAGTTATGAAGTAGCAACGAAAATAATTTTATGGTTGGGGGTCACCACAACATGAGGAACTGCATTAAAGGGTCGCAGCATTAGGAAGGTTGAGAACCACTGTTTTATAGCCTCTCCTGTCTCCGCCCCCCTCCTCCTTTCTCATGGGGGATGGTGAGCCAGAAGTGAGCCCGGGGCCTTTGCAGCTCCAGAGGACTCTCTCACTGTTAAGTCCTTGCCTATGCTGGCTCTTTCCCTCCCCCACTACACTTGGCTAAGCAGGTCTGCGTACCACCTGCCAGTCATTAATGTACCACAAGTGGTACACGTACCACTGGTTGAAAAGCCCTGGAGTACACCATGGGAAGAGTATTAAATTATTTGGTTTTATGTCTATTCCAGTCATAAAGAGAGGAGTGTCACTGTGTAAGAAATTTTATGAAGTGGAATAGCCATAGCAACAAACCAGCCAATGAGAACTGTTTTTGATTAAGACACAGTATTGGCTGTGTGAGGCATGTGATCCATCCTAGGTCTGGGCATGTCTTAGTCTTCTCCAGTGCTTTTTTTGTAAAAAAAAAAAAAAAAAAAAAAAGTGCCGGAACTCACACACGTCATACAACCTGCCTTGCCTAACCTACAAGGTTCCATCCAAAAAAGGTGCCAGAACTCCGTTCTGGGTGTTCTATGACAAAAAAAGCCCTGGTCTTCTCTATGTTGTTGTTTTTTTCTGATCTCCAAATTAAGAGTTGTTAATGTTCTCCAGAGCTGAATGAAACTGTATCTATCATGTTTATATGAATTTTATAGATAAAGTTTTTCTAAACTATGCCTCCTGCTCATTTTGAATGTGTGCTTATTTTGGGGGCTTATTTTTGCACTGGAAAGCTGTAAAATTCTAACATTTATTTTAATCATTTGAAGATCAATGTAAAATAATAACTTCAAATGTATGAAAAGCAGTATTTCATATGCATGGTCCTTTGATTCAACAGTTTCCAAAATATAGACATTTAATTTACCATTACAGATCATGAATGCAACATGACTATTTCTCCATTTGACAAAATTGTAGTTTAATGCTCTGTGCACATGGTATAAATTTTAATTCCATACCTTGGGAATATGTGCAGTTTCTAATGCAAAAGAAAACTCTTCCAAAGCTTCTTGATGGTTATGCATATTTTGGAAAGCTACACCTATATGATAATATGTTTCAAACACCTGGAATGAAAGAATTAGGATATCAATTTAGTTAATAACTCTTTCCAACTTTATTTTAAATTTCAAACATTAAAACTGAGATAACCACCCATTATTAATAATGGAATTTTCATGTTCTAAAAATATAGTGAACACTAGAATCAATATTCTGATATTGAATAGTATGGATTCTATTTGCATTTTTTAAAAAATAATAAACCAAATACAGAATTCTCAAGAAACAGGGTACTGAACAGCCTGTTTTTAATCCAGTAACAGCCTGTACTTAACCCAGGTGCTGCAATTTTGCAGTTTATGAGGGAAATCCAATTTTATTTCCTTAACCTTACTCTCATAACAATATTGTTAGTGCATAATCTATGCTAATATATTATTTCCTCATCTGATTTTCTTTAGCATTTTTTGTAACAAACAATTTAAAAAGTTCAAAACTTGCCTATAATTTCATTGCATTTGGTTAGCATTAATACTTTCCCTTGTTGTCTTCTGATCTTCTAGAAAAACAGACCTCCTGAATAAACAAATGGGCCAGAAATATATGAACTCCCTCATACCACATGTTCAGCATTTGTGCAGGGAGGCTCTCCAAACAACTACACTGATTTATAAGTGTCTAAGTAATAGGCCAGATTATAAATGGACTACATAATGAGCCAGGGATGAGACCAAGAGTACAATTCATCCCTTGACTAATATATGGAGCTGAGGTAGAATCCCTTTCAATGAGAATTTAAAGTAACAAAAAAGCATAGCATTGTATGCAGGGATTTTTAAAGGCATTTAAAATATCCGTGGTGAAGTGCTTTATCAATTAACAGGTATATCACAGTGTACATTTTGTGGATTAAACTCCATTTGAAATTATAGAAAATTAAATATGACTGTTGGAATAAAACTGACAGAATTTTGTTGCACCTTAAAGACCACTACTTCTTCCCCTCTGAAATGTAGTCCTTGTTACAGATTATACAATATCAAAAGATAAATGAAAGTTTGTTGGAGACAGACACACATAATAGAACAGATGTGGCAAAAAGCCAGAGGTGTTAGAATGCAACTTCCTATACTGCATGTCTAATCTAGTTAAGAAAGAGAGAGAAAAAAAATTGCAGAAGGAAGCTGAGAAGGAGTTAAAAGAAAGGAACAGTGAGTTTGCTTTGAGTAAGTTTAGTATCTAAATTTAGAGTCTAAAGTTAGACTGCTTCCACTTACACTTCATAAACAAATCAGCAATTATGTAGAGTTTAAAGTTAATATTCTATATAGAAATTTTTCAGATTTAAATTACCAACAATTTACAGGTAGGACCAGGAACATATTGTATAGGAAAATTCCTTTGACTCATGCAGTTTAGCAGTCTTCTATAATGCTCTATTGCCTGAAAACAATTTAATAAAAATGTATGAGAACTAGACCAAATTTTAGAATCTCTATATGTGTGAAGAAACATAGACCTTGCCTTGGGAATGGGAATGAGGGAACCATTAAAAGCAGGGATTCAGAAAAGATTACTCAATCCTGAGAAAGAGGAAAGTGTGAGAAAGAAACTCAAAATAAGCTCAAGTTGATACTCTTCCATGTAAGGTAGGGCATAAATACAAACTGGAACAGATTGTCAAGATTTTATTATTCTATCCTGCAAGAATAAAAACATCTGGAATTGCTACTATGCCCACCTCAGAGGGCCGGCCACAATCTTAAAAGCCTGTCAGAGTTTCTCTCTATCCCAGTGTTTCTCAACCTTGACAATTTTAAGGCATGTGGACTTCAACTCCCACAATTCCACAGCCAGCATTGCTGGCTGTGGAATTCTGGGAGTTGAAGTCCACATGCCTTAAAATTGTCAAGGTTGAGAAACACTGCTATCCCATCCTAGATCAAACAGGGCTATTGACTTTCTTTCTCACTCTTTCCCCTTTCTTTGGGACTTGAGTAATTGATTCTGAAAGTTGCCTCTTAACAGTTCACATATGCCTTTTTCCATTTCCAAGTCTACAGTCCTTCACAATATGACAAGAAGTATATTTTTTTATTTCAACCCAAGAAAAACAAAACAGCAAACAAATCAATCCCTGCCCCTCCCCCGCTTTCTGCAAATACATGTTTTCTGTGATCTCATAAACCTTATGATTTGCTAATCATAGCAACCAAGTCCACCACCCCTTGGAATGTTGTGTGTATCAAGCCATAATATGTGAAGTCATAATATGCTTTCTTTGGGTATAGCATATTAGATAAATCCAGTAGGGACTTTAGTTTAGCATGTAAGCAGAATATAGCCAAATATTCACCATACAAACAATAATTTAAAAAAACAAAAAACAAAGACGCAGAAACTAAAAAAATGCCAATGCCAAAGACACAAAGCGAAGAATTCTGAAAAGTAAAAATAACTCAGAATTCCACGTATTTGCATACTAGCATTTCAAGCAAATCCTGGCTATTTATCTGGCAAACACCAAAACACAGAGTGACTAATTGCATGGAATCAGGGTTCCCATTTCTACTCTTCCTCAAGGCTTTATGTTTGTCTGTATGGTGTATAGGTTCTCCACCAGGAGATACTCTTTCCCCTGGATCTGACATCTAAGGAAAACGAAACCCTTTAAAGCACAGAAACATCTGCTCTGAATAGAAAAAAAAAAAAACAGTCTGAAGTAAAAGCCAGTGCCTCGCTCATTCGCTCATTTCAAGTTACCCTCCGCGGAAGCAGTTTTCCATACTTGTTTCGAACCGCAACTCTCCAAAACGCCCTGCCAAAATCCAGATTGGTTTGCTGTTTTGAAATTTGCAACGAAGACAGCTCCGCGAGCGTCCAGCACCAGCCTCATTACTACCTGAGGTGGCGCAATTACGCCCGGAGCGCAAATCTATCCAGAATTCGTTTGCCGCGCGGATCGCTCAGCGAAACTCAACGGCCCCGTTACCTTAGGCCAGAGTTTAGCTCGCTCGCTGGCTATAGCGGCTCGCAAGAGCGTCTGCGCTCGCGCTTGAATCTGCGCGACCGCCGTCATGAACATGGAGGGAATGGTGGAATTGGCTTCTCTGGCTGGCGATGGGGAATTAGCGAAGGAGATCTGCCCGCTGTGGCTGCTAGCCAGGGAAGGAGGCAGCCGCGCGTCCTTCTGGTCCAGCCCAGCCAGACGGCGCGAGGTGACGCTCTGCGGGGCCGCCATCCGCGGTGTTCATCCTCCCCTGCTGAGGATAAAAGCCATTGCTATTGCCATGGTAGCGGGAGAACCAAGGATCGCGCCCCCGCGCTCCTGCACCTGGAGCTACGGCAACCCTAGGCGACCCTAGGCATAAGTCCTGTCTGCATTTCCCCTCCAAGTTTCCCGCTTTGATTTCGGAGCTCCGTTCTCACCAGTCGTAGCTCACCCGATGTTGCGCGAGTCACTGGAGCAGCTTTCAGTTAAACTGTGGCTCGCTAAAAGGTAAGGGAGGGTGGAAGTAGCCACTTACATACCTGGACTTTTGTGGCCCTTTGATCGGAGATTTTTGCTTTCTTTCCATGTTTCAGAACGCAGCCGGAGACCCGCAACCGAATTGCTTGCATGGTGAGCAGAGAAACAAAGCTCCGGCCTCTGTTTCTGGGGATCGCAGCTTCAAGATTCCCTTTCAAGAGTTAGAAACTGCGCTGACCAGGTCCTGACGGCATCAAGTGAGTGGAGTGGGTGTTCTAAGCTTGCTTAGATGAATATTCAGGACATTATTGTTTTGCATATTAATGAATTCTAATAAAGGGTTCTGGAACAAAGGGAAATTGTTTAGTCTAACTGTTGCTTTCTTGCTTTTTGTAATCAGCTTTTGCACCAGAAAAATTTCATGCAAGCTTGGGAAACATGTACATGGATGGGATATACTGAAGGAGGGAATAAGGTAGTGTACAGGAATGATTGATGTCTTTCTTATGATGTAATAGCTCTGTTGTCTGATTTTCATTGGCTAACAAAGTTTATAAAGCAATGCTACCAATTTTCTAATGTGTGGCACTTCTGGATGTAACTCTGCCAGCGTTCCAGATTGTTGGCCACCCACTGCTTAATTTGATCAAATAAAGTGCTGCTTGATCAAGAAGTCTCCGCTTGGGTTATCTGATTAGATTGATATGGTATCTCAAGTTCAAGTAAAGGACTGGGACCTTACATTTCTGGTGCATCGAACAAGGACTTGAAAAAAAGTGAAAGTTTTTTTTCAAGGTTATTTTTCATTAAAACTCCCTTTGAATGAGTTCCGTTGTAACTCACAACTTTCAGGCATGACATACAGGAAAACTGGTGTGGCCAAAAGAGCACTCCCAGACCCTTTGTGTCTGGTGACTTTTATATTGGCCAGTCCAGCAGACCTGAGTTTGTCTGAACCCTGAATGTTTAAACAGACTTCATCTTGTCCCAGTGAATGTAGGAGAAGACAAGAATACAGAAGAAACTTGGTAAATAGAAACAAACATTCTGGAATTAGGGGGAGGTGGGGAGTGCTGTTAGCATGAATGAAAGAATGAGACAGAGAAATTCCTGTTAGAGGTCTGCTCCGGAGTGACAAGGAGAGTGCTTGTTGAGTTTCAGGCTGTTGTCAGGCAAGTCTGTCTGAGAAAAAAGGGGGCCCAGCTAGCCTCGATCTTGATAAAAAGACCGAGAAACCCTTTAGGTCAAGACAAGAGAAAAACAGGTTAAACAATGGAGAACAGCCCCCCCCTTGCACTGAGTAAATGAATTGGTATTTCAGGAAGAGGAGAAGCCATATTTCCAGTGGGCTGCATTGTTAGCCCATTGGAAAGCACTGAAATTGTGGCAGTAAAAATAATCTTCAAGAAAGCAATGTTGCAAAAATTTTAGCTAGCTTATTTTTTAAAAAAAAACAAATCTATCCACAGAAGAAAAGAAAGAAAAGAAAAAAATCAAGGAAGAATAAGGTTTTTTTTTTCTCTAATCTGGCTCTTTGACTGGACAATTTTTTTTTTCTGTTACACAATGGGCACCATCTACTGTCCTTAGAAACGTGAAGAGAAGAGGCTACTCTCTGTAGTTTTCCCCTTTGAATTTGCTGGGGGGAAAAATTGGAAGCAAACATAAAAAGATTAAAAGGGAGGCTGCTCTGGCCTCAAAATCCAAATTGATGAGTTTTAAATATTTGGCCATCCAGAAAATTAAATTTGGGTTTGGAATGGTGAGAAAAATAAGAGATGGTTCAGAGCCCAATGACACATTTTGACTGGAATCACATCTTGATTTATCTCACTTTTTGGAGGATAAGCAACAGGCCTGGAAATGTTGTCTTAATAATATCTGTGTATATATGTGTGTCTGTGTTGTTTTGTTTCTAACAAAGACTTGGAAAAAGGTCAAGACTTGGAAAAAGACTTTCTAAGACTTGGAAAAAGATCAAACAGGCATTATTTAAAAATAAATGGTTTGCCTGGAAAAAGCATGAAAATGAAATATCTGTATGTGAAATTGTGTATGCAAGCAGTTTGAATGGAAGTGAATGTGTGAATATGCTGATGTGCAAATCTCTGTGTGTATGTTTGTGTGTGATACCTAAAAGGCAGGAATTTAGTTTCCTGCAATGTGAGATTGCTGGCAGAAATTGGGAATCATGAAAACTGTGTGACTGTTAAGGAAAAACCCCTGGAGGTTGGGGGTGTGAGTGAGTGAGTGAGTGAGTGAGTGTATGTGAGTTCCCTACCCTACCCCAGGCTGTGGAAGAAACAGTAAATTGCAGATGTTGTTGTTGTTGTTGTTGTTGTTGTTGTTGTGGACTAAGTAAGTAAAGAGGTGTTTGCATGAGAATCTGAAGAGAGAAATTCAAAAGGGGCTGAAGTCCCTGTGCAATTTTTTTTTTAAAAAAAAAAAATCTATTCAGCTTTTTTGTTACTGGCTTGCTCGTTTTTTTTCTTTGCTTTGGAAGAGACAGACAGAAAAAGGGGAAAGGAGGAGGCTGGGGATTGATCATGTTTTTTTTTCTCTCTGTTTAACTCTGGTCTGGAAGGTGGAGGGAAAGAAGGAGGGGGGCTAAAGTCTGAGATTGTAGTTTTTATTTGGCTTCTATTCTAACTTTGCTCAGGGACAAAGAACAAAGATAACTTGTTTAGTATGGCTTCTCCTTGTTGCAAATTTTGTTTCTCTGCTGCAGTTTGTGTTCAAAAGCTTAGAATTGCAGAATCTGTAATATCCTGTTCCCCCAACTCCCCTTTCTCTGCTGAAGCTTTAGTTCTATTCACTGTTTTTGGGCTGGTTGCCAACAATTGTGTGTGTGCAAAACGAAAGTAATGTAACTGACCTAACCTGCTAACTTGATATGGTATCTCAAGTTCAAGTAAAGGACTGGGACCTTACACTAACATATAGTGTTCTACTGTAGGTGGCCCCAAGTCACTATCTTGTTTTTAAAAGGTTTCAGGATTTTAAAAGCCTTCCTAAGGATAAGGAAATAGCCTAGAAAGCAGACCCTGTGTTGCTAGCCATAATTTGAGTCAGCAACAGATCCTACCATTTCTTCCCTGGATTCCCACAATTCTGATCCCATTCAGGAGCTTAGGAATACTTGCTGAGTATGCAGAGAGGCATAGGGATGTGGCCTGTGCTGAAGACCAGCTGTGCCCAATAGGGCTACTAAGGACAAACCTGATTAAAGAAGCTGGAACTACACTCAGGAGGGCTCAAGGCTATTTGGATGTGGAAGCTACTTGGGCTCAGTTTGGAAGTTGCAATAGCACTGATCTGTAAATATAAGATTCATTTTCATCATCTTAGGAAATTGCAGCATTGCAAACTTTGGAGAACTGGCTTAGGCAGACAATAATCTTTGTCAAAAAGAAAAAGTGTGAAAAAGAAAATAGCTGAAATGAGTACCTTTGGAAGTACGTTCAAACTTAGGAGAGAAGAAAGCATATCTGACAAACTATTCTCATAAATAGGGAAGTGATAGGACTGGAGAATTAGTAAAGCAAAAAAACAGATAAAATCTATTCATGGAATTTTAAGATGCAATCTTAATTGTTCTTTTTTTTAAACAAGTTTTATTAATTTTCCAATTTTACAAAAATCCAAATAGTAAGGAAGCAACATGGTGATTGGGTAATCCATAATCCAATAACAAGCTCTTTCATACATATGTCAGGTTACATCATCAAAAAATTCCTCTCTATTTCCCTTGGTTATTATATCACATTCAAATTAATACATTGCTAGTTATAACTCAATTGGTTAAGACATTTATCAATATATTTTAACTTATACGTATCCATGTCCTGTTTTTAAATTTTACCTAATTTCAATTACAGTATTCCAGTTAGCTTAATATCCATAGTATTTAGATTTCGGGGAACCCAAAGTTCCCCTAGTTCATTACAAAATAGTTGTCATATCTAAAATACACTTATTTTTTACTCAAATTCTTACTTTATTTCACAAACATATTCTATTTCTCATCCTAGCACCTCATCACTTACTAATAAAATAACCTTTATCGTCTCAATCCAACTTCTCTATTATAATTCAAAACTATTATTCTAGTGACTATTTTTTATTTAGGTCTAAATCCTAAATATTAAATCAGTATCTTTTAAAATCACCTTAGCCCATTAAATGAAATTTTAGGCTCTTCCATTATAGGTCACATTAAAAAAAAAACATTTTTAAGCCTAACTCTAGCTTTCTTTCTGTGCCATAACAACACCTTAAATCCTCAGGTGGATCTCCCTTCATTCCTACACATTTTATTTGAATCAGTTACCAATTTTTCAAGGGAGCTGGCCCCTTCATAATCATTGGATCAGTCTGGTCTTCTTCTTCTGGTTTCAGCTGGTTTAAGTAAAAAGTCATGTTCAATGTTGTAATTGTTGTTTGGTTGTCTGAGTTGTCTAGGTCAGGACTTTTCAATGAGTGGTACGGGTACTACCTGTGGTACATTGGCACCTGGCAGGTGGTATGTGAACATCCTAGAAAAGTAGCAGGGGAGGGGAATGAGCCTGAGCGAGAGATGGCTGGAGCTGCAGGGCTATCAAGCCTCAGTGGAAGTGCCAGGATCATCACCAGGCTCCAGCTGGAGCTTGGCGCTGATCCTGGTGCTTCTGCTGAGTCCAGAAGAAGCATCGATTAGCTGGAATGTTGCAGCATCTCCAGGGTCTTGTGATTTACATTCAGATGCTTGGCAACTGATTCATATTTATGACGGTCACAGTGTCCGAGGGTCATGTGAAGTGACCAAAACCTGCTGCAACCACCCAGCAGACGGGGGGAATAAAAACTAAACACCCCCACCCCACCTCCACTGCCAATCCTCAACAGAAATGCTCACAACAATGGAAACCTCAGACAGGAGGAAGAGCGCAGCTGGGTGGGCAGGCAGGTGTCTTGCTCAGCTGTGGCTTGAGGAGCACCTTTTTCAGTGCCATTGTAACTTCAAACAGTCACTAAGCGAACTGTTGTAAGTTGAGGACTACCTGTACTTTATCACTTTTTTTCTTTTGGGGGGGGTCATCATGTTTAGACACCTTGCTAGGCGACTGGTGGTACTCGGATATTGCCATATCCTAAAAGTGGTACAATGGGTGAAAAGGTTGAAAAGCCCTGGTCTAGATAAAGTACAGGTAGTCCTCAACTTACAACAGTTCACTTAATGACTGTTCGAAGTCACTCTCTTTGCACGTCCACTGGCGCC